AGACAGACAGACAGAGGTGATGATCAAACTGGTGAAAGAAAAAAAGAACGAGAGAGAGAGAGAGAGAGAGAGAGAGAGAGAGAGAGAGGCAGGCAGACAGACAGACAGACAGACAGACGGACGGACGGACGGACAGACAGAGCGAGGCGATGATCAAATTGGTGAAAGAAAGAAAGAAAAAGAGAGAGAGAGAGAGAGAGAGAGAGAGAGAGAGAGAGAGAGAGAGAGAGAGAGAGAGAGAGAGAGAGAGACAGAGAGAAAGAAAGAAAGAAAGAAAGACAGAGGAGGGGAGGAGGGAGGGAGAGACAGAGAGGTGATGATCAAGTCGATAAGAGGGTCGGAACAACGAAGTGCTGCAAGGAAAAAAAAAAAAAAAAAAAAAAAAAAAAAAAGCTCACCTGTTCCCCCTACCGTAGGGGCCCTCGCTACTCGGCTGAATCGCAATCTGTGTCCCGCAACAGCTCGTTTCTCATTACTGCTGCAAGTGCGGAGCGGCAACCCTAGGGGACGTCCGGCAGTGTGCGGCACGCAGAAAGGAACGGAGAGGGCGGCAGGCGATGGGGAGGAGGCGGGGGGGTTGGGTTGGGGGAGGCGGGGGCGCGACATTCGTGTGCTTGTGCGACAGGCTACTGGCATGAGAGAACGGGGGCAAAGGACATCGCCACACCACTCTCGAAATCTGCAAAATGAGAATGACCTTCCCGCTAGAATATGGCCAGATGCACCCGCCACATTTTGGTCCAAAGGGAGACGCAGGAACAGGCCCCAGGAGGACCTCGGGCCACGCAAGCATTGGGCGTCGCTCCGCTCCTCTCCAAATGTGAAAATGAGACCGAATCGTCCCCTAGAACATGGAAAGATACATTGGCGTATTTTTCGTCCTTTGTGCATGTGAAGAGTAGGGTAGCGAGGCCCATGACGTGGTTTTCTTCGTAAGTTCCGCGGGGCCAGTCCCACTACCCCTTAGCAAAGAGGATTGGATTTAACACCTGAATCTGGACGTTTATATCGAGACGTAGAAAATCCAACCTCATTAAACAACTGCCGTCTTCCCCCGAACATAACGCACGTGCATTGTATTCGAGTTTTCCAACAAAAACGGTTTTCGAATATATTCGAATTTCACGATGAGAAAATTGTTGCATTCGAATATAACCTCTTCCCTCCCCCCCCCCAAAGGTCAGCACCTGCTCCCTTATTGCCTTGGTGACCGGGACAGGCTCGTGCTCGTTCTCTCTCTCTCTCTCTCTCTCTCTCTCTCTCTCTCTCTCTGTGTGTGTGTGTGTGTGTGTGTGTGTGTGTGTGCGCCTTCTGACAGCCAAGAAAGTGGAAGCCAGTTCAAGCCACTCACCAAGGTCTCGCTGCTATAGTGGTCACGGAGACAAAAAAGACAGAAAAGGGTTGTACCTTTCCATGTTCTAGCAGAAGATTCCTTCTCATTTTGCACATTTGCTATGGATTGGAGAGAGGCCCCAAGTAGGGAAAAGAAATGAATCTCCGGCCAGAACATGGAAAGGTACATCGCTACTTTTCTTTTACCCTTTTTTTCAAGGCTCTGAGGCTCTCAGCCGTGGTCCAAAACTGAGCCTATTCAACCTGGACCCGACCCCCTTGTGAAGGTAAAGTTGGTCCTGTTCACTCAAACATAATGCATATGCGTTGTAAACGAATACAATGCACGGTATGCATTATATTCGTTTACAACGCATATGCGTTATGTTCGGGGGAAGAGGGTACACCAGTGTTGGGAAAATAAAGAAAAGTCTACGTTTTCCCAAACTCCTAAAATTTCGGAGGTCGGGCCCGACGACGGCTGCCAATGATAAATCTGATCGGCTGATGGTTGGAGGGAGACAATACCACGTCAGCAGGCCCCCAGCCTGGTACATGCTGTTGCGGTCACAGACAGCCGTCATGGACCAGAGGCCCGGTGAAGCAGACGAGGCCTATCAGGCCCGGATGCTGGTTTGGAGTACCGAGACAAAGAAACGGGCAGATGACGTAGCTGCAGCAGCGAAGAAGAAGGCAAAGGATGCCGAGCAGGCACGTCTACTGGCAAGTGAACAACAGCGCCAGCATGACGAGGCAGCAGCAAGGGCTGCCGATGAAGAAAGGAACCAACGTCGTGAGAAGTTATTTAGCGGAGAGCGGACCTTGCTCACAATGACAGCGGAATGGCGGACCGAGGCTGAGAATGGCAAGTTGGAGGATTGCGAAAACAAGATCCCTCTCCTCCTCTCGCATCTCACAGACCTCCTGGCTACATGCATTACGCAGCAGGAGGATATCCACAGCCTCGACGGCTCGCTAACCAAACTACAAAGCCACCTGCAGCAGCTGGAGCAGCGACTTGTCGCCACACCCGATGCAAGCTCTTCCACTACCTCCGATCGCCTCGAAGCATTGGAGATGCACGTCGGCTCCCTCTAGGACGGCGCACAGTTACAGCAGACCGCGACGCAACAGTTGCCGCAGCGGATCTGTACCACCGCCAATACCTCGAGTTCGGAGCCGCGCGAGACAGCTCCAAAGTTTGACGGGCAGGAGATCTTCTGCGACTCGATCAAGACAGATCCGATTCCATGGTTCCGCAAGCTCGGGCTCACGCTGCAGCTCCACAACGTCAAAGAACACAAGCACCACGCATATTTGTACGCTCGCTCAGGGGGCGCGTGCCAGGCTTGGTTGGACAACCTCTTGTCCAAGTACGGAGTGGTAGCTGCCGATTTGCACACCAAGATCAGTTGGGATGATCTGAAGGCGGCGTGGCACAAGCTGTTCCAGGTTGAGCCGCCGGAGATCAAAGCTATGGACAAGCTCATGGTCTTCGAACAAGGCACGCTGCCGAGTACCGACTGGATCGCCGAGTACCAACACTTGACGTCAGACCCATACATCCAGATGGGCTTCAAAGCCATCCGCCATTACTTCATCTCAAGGTCATGTCCGATATTAAGTAATGCCATGACTCACGTCGAGGACACCTTGACGACGACGGCGGAACTTTTTGACAAGGCCGCGCAGATCATCATTACGAACAAGGAGGCGAAAAATCTGCGTTCGTCTGCGGCAGGCCCGAGCAGGGACCAGCATCGGCCAAGAGTGGCCGTGGTCGCGGCAGCAACGCTGTTTGACCAAACCAGCGAGGTTGTGTCTGCCAGTGAAGGGGACAGACTTGCAGCCGCCCGGGAAGGTGGCCGCCCCGGTAGAGGCCGAGGACATGGCAAGCCGAAGACAAACACCGCATCTAGACCCCGGGCCCGGCGCAGCAGCTCCAACCCCTTGGACCCAATACGGCATCTCCGAGCTAGCATTCAAGGCGCGCACGAGATTCCACTATTGCCTATGGTGCAACAGTGATCTGCATCAGACACCGGTCTGCCCATTGAAAGGCAAAGGCAAACAGGGAAACTGAGCACCGCCGAGAGTGACTCGACAACACTCTCGACGCCTCCGGAACCGGTTTCTTCGTGAGTAACCGGCCTTCATTCCGAGGCACACGCGGAAGTCGATAGTCCTCCTCTTCTACTTTCTTTTGAGGACTATGCTGCCCGGCTCGTCCCTACGCTGGGTACTCAAGCTCAAGGACAAGAAGTGTGTGCGGTTTCTTCTCCGTCCGGCAGTGGCAACATATCATCTTCAAGTGGTGCTTCACGGGAATCGACGAGCGAGTTCAACATAGAGGTATTGGACCCGCTCACGTCTGAGGACTTTGCATGGCTTCCTCTCCCGACCACGGGCTGCTTGCCGGGACCGCAATGCGCAGCACTATGCGCTCATCTCCACACTTACTTATCCTTCTATGCTCCACCAACTTCGCCGACGGGAGACGAAGTCGCGGTGGGGGACATCCTTGCGTATACTACCAAGGTGGCCCGCGAGCTTCGCACGCAGCGGTACGATGACAACAACGCACCGCTCATGTATGTCCGCATCCAGGTTGGGCAAGCGTCCTGCAGCGCTTTGCTGGATAGCGGCGCGTCTCGCAATTTCATGAGTCAATCCTTTATGCAAAGGGCTGGCCTTGGCGCACAAGTTCGGAGGAAGGCAAACCTGACGGCGATCAAGTTGGCGGATGGGAAAACGCAGCAACTTCTCGACCGTTACATCGAGGCCGTACCGGTCTACTTCGCACCTCATGCATGCGAACCAGTGACATTCGATATTCTCGACACGGACTTCCACATCATTCTGGGAATGCCTTGGCTTGCTAGTGCGGATCACACGGTCAACTTCCACAGGCGGACTCTTAGCGTTCGCGACGCCTTCGGCGCGGAAGTGGCGTGCACTATTCCTCTACCGCACCCTTCGATTCGGTGCCAAGTGGTGACGGCCAAATCATTCAGGGCGACTTGCGCTTACGAGCAGCCCGATGAGATCGGCCTATGTTTCCTACGGACCGTCGCGGTAGCAGACGCTTCACCCACGGACTTGTCTTCCGACCCCCAGGTGGTGCGGTTGCTGGACGAGTTCGCCGACATCTTCGAGTCACCTACCTGTGTGGTGCCGGATCGGCCGATCTCTCATGAGATCATTCTTGAGGCCGGTGCCGTGCCGCCGAAAGGTTGCATCTATCGCATGAGCGAGGAGGAGCTTAAGGTCCTCCGCGCACAACTCGATGATTTGTTGGCCAAGGGTTGCATCCGCCCTAGCAGCTCCCCATATGGAGCACCAGTTCTCTTCGTCCGGAAGAAGAACAAGGATCTACGATTGTGTATCGACTACCGCAAGCTCAACGCGCAAACCGTCAAGAATGTGGCGCCTTTTCCTCGCATCGACGATCTTCTTGAGCGACTGGGCAGCGCAAAGTATTTCTCCAAGTTGGATTTGAAATAAGGATATCATCAAATCTCGATCCGGCCGAACGATCGCTACAAGTCCGCGTTCAAGACGCGGTACGGGCATTTTGAGTGGGTGGTCATGCCTTTTGGCCTCACCAACGCCCCGACGACCTTTTAAGCGGCAATGACCAATGAGTTCCGTGCAATGTTGGACCGGTTCGTGTTGGTCTACTTAGACGATATTCTCGTCTATAGCCGGTCATTGGAGGATCATCTTGGACATCTTCGACGAGTGTTGGAGACGCTTCGTCGCGCCAAGTACAAGGCCAACCGCGACAAGTGCGAATTTGTCCGGCAAGAGCTGGAATACTTGGCCCATTTTGTCACACCGGAGGGCATCAGTCCGCTATCGGACAAGATTCAAGCCATCCAAGAGTGGCCAGAGCCTCGGAACGTCACGGATGTCCGCTCGTTCCTTGGTCTCGCCGGCTACTAGCAGCGTTTCATCAAAGGCTACTCGAAGATCGCGGCCCACTTGACCAAGCTTCAATGCGAGGATCGGTCGTTTGACTTCGGAGAGGAGGCGTGGGAATCATTTCTGGCTCTCAAAGCCGCGCTATTATCTGCGAAGGTCTTGCGGATATACGACCCGCTTTTGCCTACGCGCGTCACTACGGATGCGTCAGGCTATGGCATTGGTGCAGTCCTTGAGCAACATGATGGTGTGGACTGGCACCCAGTCGAGTATTTCAGCAAGAAAGTGCCCGTCGTGCATTCCATTGACGATGCACGCAAGAAGGAGCTCCTCGCCTTCGTCCACGCGCTCAATCGGTGGCGGCACTTCCTCCTTGGTCGAAGCCAATTTCGATGGGTAACGGACAASAATCCGTTGGTCTTCTATAAGACCCAAAACACCGTCAACAGCACCATCGCTCGATGGATGACTTTCATCGACCAGTTCGACTTCTTTCTCGATCACATTCCCGGGAAGTCGAACCGTTTTGCGGATGCTCTTTCACGGCGTCTGGATCATTGTACCGCGGTCTACTCAACCTTCGAGATCGACGATGACCTGCGGAACAGCTTCATCCGCGGCTACCAAGTCGACCCCGAGTTTCGCGACAAGTATGCGAATTGCTCCTCTCCTAATCCGGCGCCTTCTTACTACCGGATCCAAGAGGGGTACTTGCTTGTCCACACGCGGGGGCCCGGGAAGGACCTTCTTTGCGTACTGAGTGATCCTCACTTGCGTACACGGCTTCTTGGCGAGTTCCACGACGCTCCCGCCACTGGACATTTTGGCGTCAATCGCACGATTGGCCGGCTCCGCAAGCGATTTTGGTGGCCCGGCCTTCTCGGTGACGTCACACGCTATTGCGAGTCATGCGAGGTTTGCCGACGCTGCAAATCCCGCAATCATCGTCCGTACGGCGAGTTACGACCACTACCAGTCCCGTTGAGGCGAAGGGAAGCGATTGCCATGAATATTACCGTCCCGTTCCCCAAGCACAAGACCGGACTGGATGAGATTCTCACGGTGGTCGACCGACTCACCAAGTTCGCCATGTTCTTGCCTTGTCGCTATCATGCCAAGGCACCCGAGTTGGCCGAGGTTCTTTACGCCGGTTGGATTCGAACCAAGGGTTACCCTAAGGAGATCGTCTGCGACCGCGACACCCGGTTCATGTCCGATTTTTGGTTGGCGCTCATCAAGCGATGGGGCTCATCTCTCAAGCCTAGTTCAGCTCGCCACCCTCAGACCGATGGACAGACGGAGAGAGCGCATCAGACCGCACAGGTACTCCTCTGCACTCTCATCCGCCCCGACCAGAAGGACTGGGTTGAGCGGCTGCCGGATGTCGAGTTGGCGTACAACTCCTCTACCCACCCGGCTATCGGGATGTCGCCCTTTGAGTTCGAGCACGGCTCGCCGGTCACTTCACCGTTGGACACTATTACTCCACGAACGACCGAGAGCGATGGTCATCTTCTTTTTTTGCGTTAGATGCAAGAGCTTCTTGTCAAGGCACGCGACCAGACGGCCAAGACGCAGCAGCGCATGAGCCAGCAGGCCAATCGCCAGCGTCTTCCTTGCCCATTCTGTGCCGGCGACCTTGTGTGGGTTTCCGCAGCGGAATTTAGCCTTGAACAAGACATCTTTCGCAAGCTCCTCCCGAAATGGATGGGGCCTTGGCCGATCGTAGCCCCCCCTGGGGACGCACCCGAGGGACCTTCCTTCACAATTCAAGTGCTCGACCACTTTCCCATCTACCCAGTCTTTCATTGCTCCAAGTTGGCTCTATACACACCAGCGGAACATGACGATTTTCCCTGGAGACGTTCGCAAGACCCACCTTCTATGGACGGTTTTCAGGAGGTCGGCGACATCATCTCCCAGCGACGCGATGACAACAGGCCAACCGAGTATTTGGTGCATTTTGCATAGTGCACACACCGAGCTGACCGTTGGTTGACCCGTGTGGAGCTTCAAGCAACAGCTCCATACGTTCTCGCACGCTACGAACGCAAGATGCAAGGCAAACCGGTTTCTTCGGCTCCACGCCGCGCCCGCGTCCAGGTTCCACCTTCAAGTTCAGATCGTCGGCTTCGCCCTCGCCCCGACTTGACTTCATAAGGAGGGGGGGGTGTTACATGTTGCGCCTGCACACGCGGGCCATTTTCCAGGCCCTGCGTCCTTCAGGCCGAAAGCCTGAAATCCAGGGCTTACAGGCCCTATGTTGGTTCAACCCGAAAGCCTGAATTCCAGGGCCTACAGTCCCTGTGTCGTTTCAGACTAAAAATGGCAACAGCCTTTTTAGCCTGAAACGAAGGGCCATTTTCGGTCGTTCATCAGAACGACCGGCCCTGAAACTCAGGCACCAAACCAGGGTTTCGGGAACAGGCTATTCTTAGCCTGTTCCCACGCCAGCCTCAAGCAGCTGCTGCAGCGCCAGCCCCTGGCACACTTCGACATTGGCAAGAGCAGCCTCCTCGGCCTGGCTCGCCCTTCAGGCAGTCAGGAGGCAAGCCGAGGTAGTACATAGGAACTTCCCATGCACTTCACGAGGCAGGCAGGAGGCAGTTGTAGTCTTCAGGATTCGGGAGCAGCACTCTGGAGGGAGCGTTGCAGGGAGTAGTAGTAGCGTTAGCCTTTAGTCTTCAGTGCTGGGCGCAATAGGTAGCTGTATTCTCCAGCGCTGGGCACCATAGCTAGGATAGCACTAGAGAGAGAGAGAGAGATTGGGCGGAGGCCTTGGGTACTCACCTGCAGCGCCGTTGCTCCAGCTTCGTCTTCGAGGTACCTGCAACACAGCGCCAACATCACAGGTTAGTATCTGGCTCGTAACAGAGAGAGAAAGAGTTTTTCTTCTTCCTCTTCTCAGTCCACCATCTCCATCTCCCCCTCTCATCATCTGACTTCACTGCATCTGCAGACTACGAGAGAAGAGAGACAGAGCTTGGTGACATCGGATCCCGACTCGACTTTTGGACTTCAGACATTACAACGAGGGATTATTTGGGACTTTTGACAAAGACTTGGTGTTGACGACATCCCCATCTCTCTCCCTCCTTTCGTCTGATTCCCTCCTCTTCGTCTGTGTATGTCTGGACCTGGGGCTTTCTTCCTGTGTACAGCTCCAGGCTCCTTCACACTTGGTGATGGATACGATGTATGTTTGGTCTGCATTCAAACAATGATTGGGCTAGTCATTAGCATTCTAGCATTCTGCTTCGCTATCTTTTGCTACGTGAATGAGGTCAGTCCCAGTCAGGTCAGGACTTGTATCTAAATCTTCCACTGCGCTATTCAGCACCATTTTGTACGTATGAGAATGCACATTGCTTATTGAGATTCTACTTGCACTGCATTGTCCATTCTGTCTTTTTTTATCACATTGCGGATCCTCGGTTATGATGTACATCGCTCATCTGAGCATGTAACACCCTTGCACTCCACCCTTTGTTTTTTGGTGCGGTGTGTCATCCAAGTACCATGTTGTGTTTTGACCTCAGCCTTGCCGTTTTGTTTGTCTTGTTGTACTTGTCTTACCGCTTGTCGGTTCTTTTTTCGTTTCATGACTTTTGAAAGCTGGGCTTTATAAGCGTTCTTTTCTATGGGCATCCTGGGCTGCGGGCTCTTTCCCGGTGTTGTTTATAAGCACACTTTTTGACGCAACATGCTGCGACACAGTCACAGAAGCCACGCAATAGAAACATAACACACACACACACACACACGATTGGGCTGAAAATCTGACGAAACAGCCTGGCACAGTCATGCTTTTTTGTGGAGTTGTGTACAGCGAAAATGGCAGCACACACACATTGCTCACACGTGGTAAAATAATTGATAAGCGCAATCAAAAATTGTGTGCATACGTGTGCCCAGCCACGAAGAGCATGTTGAAGCAAATTGTTCACAAAATAACTGAGTGGTCATGAAGTTTGGGGCAGTTGTGGCTGAGCCTTTTTCTCTCTACTTTGGAAATGAGAGTCGTAAGATTGAAAGTATGAAACAACTTGAGAGTGCGACCGAGTTCTGCATATTTCTTTTCATCTATTCATACTCACTACCTACTGTTACAGCCTACGGCTAAGGTGCAGCCTGCCGACGGATAATTTGGGACAAAGCTACGGCCCACCTGCAGATTCTACGTGAAGCACTGGCCACTCTGGGGCTTTGGAAATCAAAACCAGCTAGACCTAACAGCCCTCCATTTCAGTTCAAACTTCAAAGTCCTCTCAGAACAAACCATACATTTTTTTTTGCAGCCAACCTGCAGACAGTATCTAACACTCTGCACAGAACCAGCATCTCACACAGGGAACAAACAGAGCCTGAGAACACCACATGTCAAGCAGAATGTCTTCAGAGGACAGAGCCCATATCGACAGGATCAGAATCTGGATCACGAGTTCGGGGTCGTCAAAGTTTCAACCTTAAAGCAACCAAGGTCTGGGAAGTCCGTCCTTCGGGACATCCATTAAATTTCGAACGATATAGAGACGATTACCATGCACCCTGCACATGGATGACACCCATAAATCGAGAATTGGTCCAAAGAAGGTCTGTGAAGTCAAGCTGCAGAAAACAAAATCTGAAATCGGACAGACAGAAACTTGCGCTGTAGAAAACGGAAACCAGCAACCGACATGCAGAACCTGACGCAGTTCACATTGCTGAATGCTACACACATGAAATTGTTAATAAACAGGTTATGAATTTTTCCGCGGTATATCTGCTCTTACCAGCACCACTAGCACCAGAGGGGGCATTTTCAACAACAAAAAAAATAAAAAAATAAAATGATGCGGTATATCTTCCTGTGCCTTCTTCTTTTGCCCTCTGCACATACCCAATTGTCGTCAGCAGTGCTGGAGAAGAAAGCGGTTAACAGAGGGGTTAACCTGGGGTTGAAAAGTGGGGGTCCTTGTTCACCACTTGTGCAATGCTCTTGATCTTCGCCTGTTCAATCCACTTTCATGGGAGGATGTCTACCCCGTCTCTCTTCAATCTTGGGCGGTCCATACAGCATCAGCATGAAGCATGGAAGACTAGGTAAGTCTTCATATGCAGCAGTAGGCATATCAGTTGTATATGACGGTCCTTCAGAGGCATCTTCAGCTATGCGTAGAATCTGCCTCTTATGGTCCATAAACTCCATACCACTATGGCAGGCACCTCCTCAATGCTCCCTCCTCTTTTGAGAGCTTATCCATGCTGACCCAAGTGAGATCTTCATCCTTAAAATGGGGAAGCCCTTTGGTGCTTGTTAGCTTCTGCAGCTGCCAGCTCCTTTGTCTTTTGTATGTCCCTGCTGGCTTGCCAGATCATCTGTGAAGTTTGGACTGATTATTTGATTGAACTCCACGCGTGCCAGGAGGGTACTTAGGTCATTTGTCGGGAGCCAGACAGTCGACAGACACGTGTGGTTTCCAGCAAAAGTGCAGCTCGAACGGAATCCTCGCCGTCCATGGATGAACAGAGCGGTTGTAGATGCTTGACGTGTTTCTCCCCACGAATAGACTGGAGCATTTGTCCCAAAAAAAAAAAAAGAAAAAAAAAGTATAGAGATGCTGGACTCTGTTTCCAGTTCACATAGAGTACATCAGCTCTGGGGTTTTGCTTCAGATTTGTGTTAGAGCTTCATTTCTGGCTTGATTGATAAAATTGGGATCGATGCCTCGATTACTATGCTGCTATGGTAGCGCAGGGGACAGGGTTTTCCCTTCAGGGGACATGCATTAGTCGATGAGAGAGAGAGAGAGTTTGAACTTGGACTTCGAACTTTGAACTTAAGATTCTGAACTGCCAAAGTCTTGAACTTCATTTAATATTTACCTTTATTCAAGTTTACTGCGGAGTCACTGTGGTCTTTTTCTTCTTTCTTCACCTTTTCTTCCCTTGCAGCAGTTTGTGCTTTGCAGTGACTGTGCCAGCACAGTGCATGTCAAGGAATGATCATTCGTGTTTGTCATATATGCCAACAGCGCTGTCTTCCTGGAACACTTCCCCTTAAGTCAAGGTTATACGATGAAACTGCATTCAACATGCATGAGAGACCTGCCAGTTTTTTTTCTTTCTTCAATCTGGACCGATCCGGACATGATCATCTGGACCATCCGGACCGATCCGGACCATGTCCTTATGGTCCGGACTGGTCCGGAAATCCGGACGTCCGGATCATATCTGGACCGACTGGTTGTCCAGGTCCGGATCGGTCCAGACTGAGTGTCCGGTTCCGCGGTAGCCATGATAATACAGCATATACACACGTCAACGCTTCTCCCTTTTATGGTAGAGCACCCAAGTGGGTGGAATTCATTAACCCAAGTGGGTGGAATTCATTAATTTAACTATGTCCTATCCATCTGATCTACAGTGTCTACAGTCAGACACTCTGTGTATGTACAGCAATCCATAAAAGACAACATCCAAACTGTCTGTCTTCATTCATCGATTAATGCATCGATTAATGCATGTCCGCTGAAGGGAAAACCCTGTCCCCTGTGCTACCATAGCAGCATAGTAATCGAGGCATCGATCCCAA